ATTTATTATTATTATTATTATTTATAACATTTAAAAAAAAAAAAAAAATTTAAATCGATCGACTAATAATACGTAAAATGAAAATAAATAAAAAAAAAAAAAAAATTAATAATTCATGAGAAACGTTTATATTATGTATGCCCCTTGTTAAAAAAAATAAAATTTTATTTATTTATTTTTCTTTTCTTTCTGCTTCCACGTTTTTTTTTTTTTTTCGTTTGGGCAAAAAAATTATTTTTTCCCTTATAGAAATCAATAAACACGCAAAGTTTTTTTTTTTTTTTTTTAAGTAAACCTCGATTTATTCCCCCCTCCCTTAAAAAAAAAAAAAAAAAAAAACTCGTACGAAGGGTGGGAGGGAAAAAAAATAATTTTCTCGATGGGTCGATGACCTATTTACAAAAAAAAAGAAAATTCCAACTTTTTATTTAATCCTTTATAATATAAACGTTCAAAAATTCGTTTTATTCAATTCGTAATAATAATAATAATAATAATAATTTTCCGTTTTTAACGATTCAACGTTTTTCTCTCTCTCTCTCTCTTTTTTTTTTTTTGGGGGGGGGTGGGGGCATTAATATACGATCGTGATAAGAATTAAATACTCGCGACGAGTCATGATAACGACCGGTTTTTTTTTTTTTTTTTTTAAACGATAAATAATTAAATAAGTAAAATAAGTATTAAATCGTACCTTATTTTGAGCCTGGATTTAAATAGTAGTACTCATTCTCCTTATTTGACAAACCTTAGGAGTGATAAACATGTCGCGAATCGAACACGAAGAAAATCGATTATTATGATTTTCTATAATCATGTCCGAACCTTTTTCCGCAATCATAATAACGACAGCATTCGGATTCGAACTTGGTAATGTTGGCATTATTGATGCGTCAATAACGCGTAATTTATTCGTTTTGTGAACTCTGAAGCAAAAAAAAAAAAAAAAAAATTTATTAAATTTATAAAACACCCCCCCCCCCCACGCTCCCCGTGAAAAATTTTCACGGACTGAACTACATTAAATAATTAAGGATCGGGGAAAAGCGGGTTAAAATTATTCAAAAACATCCGGCAAAATTTTTTTTTTTTTCGTTGTTAAAAACGAGGAAAACTCAAAATTACCTCAAATTGTAATCAACTACGCCGTCAATTCCCATTTCGCTCATTTTACAAGTTCCCACAGGATGATAAACGGTGAGGGTTAAATGTTTGACGTAGCAACGCCAATATTCATCTGAATCAAATTTCCAATTTTCACATCCGGGAAATTTTTTATCGTTAAATCTCACGCCGAAATCGGCAAGACTTTTCGTTTTTGTAATTTTACGAATCGTTCTTATCCCTTCGACCAACGTGAATACGTCATTTTCATGTGATAAATATTTTGGATCTATTAACGGCATTCCATTAGGATCGTTTGGATTTAAATTCATTTCTCCGACGCTTTTCGGATGAAGAAGAACTGGTAATATTGATACGACCGATTCGTTCGTGAAAAATTTAAAATAATTTTCCCAAACCTGAAAAACAAACAAACAAACATTTATTTATCTATGGAAAACGAACGAAATTCATCGAAGGGATTCGAGAGGAAAATTTTTTTTTAATCACCTTCTGAGAAATTCCCATTGATTTTCGCATGAAAACTCCTTGATCTGAAGACACGCCAGCCATCATAACCATAAATTCCAAATCGGGACTCGTATTTTTCCCATCAAATTTTCCCATTAAAGATGAACGTACGACTCCGACGACGTCGACCAACCCGCTGGTAAAAGGACCTTTTCCACGTGCGAAAAACTCATACGCGGATGATGGCAACATTAAATCGACGTAAGAAAATAAATGTTTGTCGAGAATAACAAGATCCAAACCGGTTGTCAAATGATCTTTAAGATTTTTACCAACGGGCAAATCCACTTTGGATGATATCTGAAAACAATTAATTATTTATTCAAAAAAAAAAAAAAGTACAAAACAACAAATGGAATAATAAAAAAAAAAAAAAAACTTACATTCGATTCATGTAATGAATTTTTTGGACCGATACCAGAGAGCATTAATAATTTTGGAGAACCTATTGTTCCAGCAGACACAATTATTTCCAGATTAGCATGTATGGTCAGTGATTGACCGCAGATTGTTCGAACGCTAACACCATAAGCTTCATAATTGTTAAGTAATAATATTTTTTCAACAATCGCATGAGTTAAAATCTTTACATTTTTCCTTTTCGTCATGACTCCTTTTAAATATTGATCGCTTGTCCATCTCATTCCCATTTCGTTTATATTTAAAAAAGGTTTCATAAATCCTGTGCTTGTTTTCGAATTCAAATCGTTTAAACTATATCCCAATTCTTTGGCAGCATCGAGTATGGCATCTGACAATTTAGTGGAATGTATTGAATTTCTGACATTGACACTTCCCTTACTGTTACAATCATCTGTAAAACAAATGAAAAACTATCAAATTTATTATTATTATTTATCAAGGTTAAAAATAATTAACTCGATTTTAAACTTGCATTGTCGATTTGAAAAACATTTTTTTGATTTTGTAAAATAATAATTAATGTCGTTCTCATCCCAATCATTTGAATGTGGATCCTTCCATGATTTATAATCGTTCACATCACCCTCCAAATGAATCATATAATTTAAATGAGTTGATCCTCCTAATATTTTACCAGATGGCCATTTTGATACCTGAAAAACACTTTTAAACTTTTTTACCACTTTTTTTTTGTTTTAAACATGTCGACTATTACAATGAGAGAAAAAAAAAACATGTTACATTGTTTTCTAATGCGAAACAAGAATTTTTTTGAGGAATCGTTGTGTATTGCCAATCGATCGAAGACATTTGTTTTAACGGTCCTAAAAATGGAATGTTAAAAATATCATAACCATGTCCACCGGCTTCGATTAACAAAATCGTTGCATCGTTTAAATTATCTGATAATCTTCCTGCGATAATAGAACCCGCCGAACCGCCACCGACTATACAACAAATAAAACGGAAATTTAATTTCTAATACAAAATTTCAAAAATAACGGTTAAAATGAATTCCAAAAAAAACTGAATTTAATACCTATTATATAATCATATTTAAAATCGATATCGTTGTTTTTAAGTAAATATTTTTTAAATTTTAATAAAGTATTTAAAAAAATTGAAAAGAAAAATATTATTAACCATAATAAATAATAAATAAAACTCTGATAAAGCATTTTTTTTTAAAAATTATAACGTCTTAAACACTTCAAAAAAAAAAAAAAATTTGTTAGCCGCTAAAGTCGCGATTATATTCTTAACTGTGCAACAAGTCGAACATTTTAACTGGTCAAATTATCCAAACGTTGTGACGTCAAACTGACGTCACAAAAAATTAATTCTCCAATATTTTCTCTCTCTATCTCTATCTCTCTCTCTCTCCTTTAAAAATAACCTAAACAAAAACAAAAATAAAAAAAAAATTTTTTAACGGTTAAACAGAATAACATAGAAAATAAATAATAATAATAATAATAATAATAATAATAATAATAATAATAATAATGATAATAATAATAATAATAATAATAATGATAATAATAATTGCAATTTTATAATCTTTATTTAGTTCAAAGTCTGGAAATGTAAGATAAAATTTCTGATTTTTTTTTTATTTGCTTTACGTTCCAGAAAAAAAAAAAAAAAAATTTATATTTATCGATTTGTTTTTGTGTTTTTCCCCCCCCCCCACACATCCCCTCCCTCCCCTCCCTCTCCCCCGCTTTCGGAAATATCTAATATTTAATTCTTGAGAATAAATAAAAAAAAAAATTTATATTTAAAGACAAAACTTTATATCCTTTTTTGTTTGTTTAAAAAAAACAAAAAACATGTTAAACAAAACAACAGTTAAACGTTTTGTTTGTTTGTTTGTTTGTTTGTTTGTTCGTGGGTAATAATGATTTTATTCGAAAAGAAACAAAGAAATTTCTAGAACGATACTATCGAATTTAAATTTAATTCGAAAAAGATTTGGAATTGGAAAAAAAAACCGTCATAAGAAAATTAATTTCCAGTTAATTTAACCTTTGAACTGTGGTTGAAAAATTCTATATGACGTCATTAGTATTAAAATTTATTAATCGGTATATATATACTTAGAAAAGAAATTTTTTTTTTGGGGGGGGCCACCATCACCATCACCATCACCACCACCAACACCATCATCATCATCGTCTTACTTTTTTTTTTTATGTTAAAACGTGGGACACGATGAATATTTATTATCGATAATAAAACGATTTATTATTTATTTATTTATTTGTTTGTTTGTTTGTTTTTTTTCCCCCCGTCGTATATAATAATATTCGAAACCTTTCAACGACAATCGTAGAAACGATCGACATTTTCAAACAAGTTTTAAGTAAAGAATCTTTTTTCTTTTTATTCTTTTTTTTCAAAATGAATTTTATTTATTTATTTTTCTTCTCTTCTTTCAATCTTTTTTTTTTTTTTTTCTTTTTAACGTATTCTCGTTTTGTTGGAAAGGTTCAAAAAACGTTAAATCGTTTGTTTGTTTGTTTGTTTATTCGTTACCCTTATTTCTAGAAAATTCTTTCCCGGGAAACTATCGAAATACGAATACTAAAAATTATTTAATATTATCAAACAAATGATTTATTTATTTATCGAAATTAAAAAGCGCGATCGATTTATTTATTTATTTATCGAACTAAAAAGAAAGAAAATTGTTTAAACAATAAAAAAAACGGGGGGGGGGGGGGGGAAAGAGGAAAAAACTCTTTCAACTGATTATTAATATTATTATTATTATTATTTAATTAATTAATTAAATTATTCGTCGCCGTGTTGTTGTTGTTGTTGTTTCAATCAATCTTAATTTTATTATCATTATCATTCTCGTTTGAAATACGAACGCGTTCTCTCTCTCTCTCTCTTTCTCTTTCTCTCTCTCTCTCTTTCTCTTTCTCTCTCTCTTT